AATACAACCGGCACCCTTACAAAGCTTCAAAACTCCACCTCCACCTCCACCAAATAATTCATAACCATTTGAATCAAAGATAGACAATGAGATGAGATTCTTCTTCAAATCTAAAACATGTCAAACTAGCCAAGTATTCTAATTGTCCCATCCAATAGCTTCAATCTAACCGTACTAATTTCAACAACCAGACAAGGTGTGTTGTTTCTCATAACCACGACACCTTTGGAAACGGTTTCATATGTAGTAAATAAGTCCTTATTATGACACATATGAAACACACAAGCTGAATCCAGAATCCAATCCCCATCTGGTTTATACTCGATGTTAGAAATAGCTAAGAGATCTCCCTCACTTATAATGTTCTCCGCGAGGACTGTTTCACCTGAAATCTCTGATTGCTTCCCATATCGACTTGCAGCCAAGCTTTATTTATTCAGCAATTTGTAGCAATTCTTTTCCAAGTACCCATTCTTCTTGCAGAAGTTACAAATTTGATTACTGAACTTAGACTTCGATCTGTCCCTTTCAGAACCACCATAAGCAACAAGGCCTTCTATATCTCTGACCTCTGAAACTAGATGCTTCGTCCTATCTTTTGAAAACAAAGCATCATACACCTTCTCTATAGTGAGAGTATCACGACTATACAAAATTGTATCTCTAAATGAAGAAAATGAAGTGGGCAACGAACACAATATGATCAATGTCAAATCTTTTTCATCATAATTTACTTCCAAAGTTTCCAAATCAGCGAACATCTCTTTAAATATAGTCAGATGATTTTCAATGATCCTCCTTCTATCATTCGATGAGAGTATAAACGTTGCTTGAGATGCAACTTGCTTGTATGGCTTTTAGCTATGCACAATTGCTCCAATTTCAACTACAAAGCAAATGTTGAATCATTCTTCAAAACATCCTCAAGAATGGTATTCGGTAGATGAAGATAAATGTGAGAAATTACTTTCTTATCCTTCCGTAATTTCTCATCCACGACCAAAGTTAAGGGCATCTTGTCAATTCCCAGCAACACATTATTCAAATCTAGTTGTACGAGTACTGCACACATCTTAACCTGCCATAACGAAAATCTAGTGCTCCGATCCAAAAACAGAATGTCATACTACATGGAAGTTACCACGAACAAAAACCTCGAACAAATCAAACTTTGCGCTCTTGCGGAACTGCTGAACTAAAGCTCTGATATCACTTGATAGGAATACAAACAAGACATCAGAATCGCTCTGATACCACTTGTTGTGAACAATGTTCTACAAGGAGCGCCTAGGCGTGAGGCGAGGCCAAAACACCAAGCCTAATGGGTTAGCGTCTTATTTGGCGGTCAACGATAGTTGTTGATCGTTAATGCGCGCTTAAGCGCGCTTTTTTTTTTTTTTACAATTCTTTTGAAGTTAAAAATTATTAAATGCTAATTTCTTTAGTTTGCCCTAATTTAAAATTAAAACAACCATTTGAACCCAAAAGTCAAGTGACCAACGAATCTTATTTACGGTAGATAAAATTTAAGTTCATATGCTATTTACTTATTATTTTGTATTTAAATTTGAAACTTATATTTTTGTTGAAAATTTTGAAAAAATATATAAAGTTCTTATAAATCTGTTTTAAATGTTTAGTAAGTATTATTTTTAATTGATTAAAAATCAAAATAATATTAAAATAAGAAAACGCATTTTTTACGCATTTTTACGCATATGCCTCGCCTAGCCCTGTGCTTGGCCTCCACGCATCGCTACGCATTACGCATTTTAGAACACTGGTTGTAAAACAACCAAAATATCTTTTGTTAGAAGAATTATTAATATGTTTGGATCGCTGTTAGCAATATTGAAAATACAAGAATTATGTATTGTTTGAACACCACTTGATGAAACCAACTACCAGAATGAATTGTTGAAGTTATATGAAAAATAATAAAGTATTAGATCAAGTAAAAGAATAACAAAGACAAGAAATATGACAGGGGAATTAAGAGATTTTATTAACTTAAAAATAATGGAGAAGAGAGAAAATTACAATGTATCATATAATTCTAGTAATTTATTTTCTTACACAATATGAAATTATATAGAAGAGCCTAATATTTATAGGGAACATGTAGGGGATGCTCAAACCCTCCTAGTAGGGTTGTTTATTAAGTAAAATACAAAAAATTAAGTCCAAAACAAATTCCAACTCTCAATAGGCTTCTAAATATAACTTCAACTTGACACAGGACTCCAATAGCATTCCAAACTTGAATTCTCTTTGACGTACACTTCAATTAGAATTCTTCAATACTTCAAACAAGGAATTCGAGTCACACCCAAATTCTAACAGTAAAAAAAAAGAGTAGAGAGTTATCAAAATAGTGTTTGAATTAATCAGACACTTGCCCTTTAAGGATTTGATTTGCTTCACTGATTGTTGTCTAGATTAGTAGTTCTAACACTTGTAGTCTTGAATATCCATAAACTCAAAGATTTTTCTCAACAGAGCGCACCCAAACTATGAAATCCTTTACGTGCAAGTACCATCAAAATGTGGAATCTAGACCTTGATTCTGTAATATGAAGGTAAATGTTCATTAATTGTCTCTAGTTTCCTTTTTTTATGTCCTACCAAATACCCAAGGTTCATCATATCATCAAAATCCATCTCGACCTCAGGTTGTCTATTCTAATAGTGGTTCCCATCCCCATAATTAGATTCATCTAAAAATGGGTATTGAATCATACCTTCCATGATAGTTGTATTGTTGGAGGAGTTCTACACCCATGTCCTTGTGGTTAGCCAATTTTACCATCCACAATGGAACTTATGATCCAAAATCTCTAATTCAAATTACATTCTAAATTATTAGCAGAAGTCCCTATGGCCTTCATACCACGGACGTCGTAACCGGTGTGGTGACTTACTTCACCAACTTCAACCATCAAACCGACAGGAAAAACCATGGTCTTTGATACCAAATGGCATAGGAGCCAGATTGAAGAACAAAAAATCAAAACATGCAACAACTTCGTGCTCACTTGCAAAACGAATAATAATTGAAGTTGCAACTGAGTTCATGGAAAATCCTTTTTGAACACATTTTCTGTAAAAACCTGAATGATCCCAAATGCAACATAAAGTATTAAGAAATTAGCTTCTGTTTGACTCCCTTTAAAATAAAACAAATTATTTTTCATACTCATTTTCAATCACATATTAACATAATTAAGGACTTGTCTGGAGCAGCTTTTCAGGGGAGAAAAAATAATTTTTGGACCGTTGCAAGCCAAAACCAGCCATCTTTGTTGACTTTTGCTCACATTGGGTCCCACCTGACATTTAAACGGTCAAAAAAGTGCTAATAATTGAGGAGAAAAAGCTCTACTAGACAAAGTCTAAATATTTTGTACGTAAATTCAAAAAAAAATTTCTATTTTTAACCACACATTTTTCAAAAAAATTACTATTTAAATAGGGACTGAATAAACTGAACATCATCATTTTGCAAATTGGTTTCTAGAAATAATAAATAAAGCTAAGTAATAAAAAGGATGCTAAGGAAATATCAAAAGCATGTTTACTACATAATATAATAAAAAAAAATTAAGTTTCTTGAATTGAAACTTAGGCCACGTTTGAGAGGCGTTATTTTCCAGGGAACTAGGAAAATATTTTCCACTTTCCACTTTTTTGNTTTTTTTTTTTTTGTAATGGAAACAAGTGTCATAACCAATGGTAAAAAAAAAAAAAAATTCACTTTAATTGACAATTTCCATGTAAAACAAAGTCAAACGAACACTAAACTTTGATAAAAAAACTATTTTTTAGGAAACAAAGTTTTTAACTTTTGGTAATGGAAACAAATTTTATAACCAATTGTGGAAAAAATTATCACTTTAATATACACTTTCCATGTAAAACAAAGTTAAACGAATAAAAAATTTAAAAATTTAAAAATTTTTTGGGTGGAAAATTATACCAATCAAAAACACTTAATTAACAATCCCCTGTAAAATATTTTCTAACCAATTATTTTCCCTACAAATCATTTTCCTTCCACCCATTTTCCACCCTTGTAATCAAACGCACTCTTAGTAGTTGGTCTTTCACTCAGTCTTCCTCCCACTCCTAGGCCCTAGCTTTAGAAGGATTCGACCAAAGTCCAATGGATGAGAAAAGCATAATCTTCTTGATATATCATCACCAAATAACCTTCCTCAAAAATCTTCTTGAAGTTGATTTTAAATAGTAACAGAAAGAGTAATACTATTCATAATGAAAATTATTGATAGTCACCATATAAGACATACATATAACAGTTTATTATTTGATACACGATAAAATAAAAGGCTATAATATTAATGTATCAAATAACAAACTGTCACATGTATGACGTAAGATAATTATTGGCAGTCCTCACTATGAATAGTATTATTCTAACAGAAATATGTCGAGTTATCTTAATTGATATCAAATTAAAAAAACAAATACCTAATTGAACAAAATTAAAATACAACCACATTATTGACATTATAATAGAAATATTGTTATCGCAAATAAAATTTACTCAACTACTTTTTAACGTTGGATGTTATCAAATACCATATTATCGTGGAAATTAAAATCAAATCAAAGTAAATATAAATTATACATTTAATGAGACAGGCAACTTTTTAAATATAAATTTCATCAAGTTCTATCTAAATTTATTAAAAATTGATTTTAATCCCCACCAAACAGGATCGTTATTTTAATCACGATTACATATTTAATAATTCAACTATTAGTATTTAAAAATTTCAGTAACATAAAAAAAACCACGAGATTATTTCAAGTTCTAGAAAATGTCGAGTTCTATATCCATGGCCCATGGTTCAGTCTCTCGTGGCCCATAAACCCCATCTTGAATTTCAGACCGGGCGTGGTTCAATGGTAAAACCCTAAAGAGAGAAATAAGTAGGGAGAAAAAGGTAGGGATTTTCGAGCAGCTCGCAATAGCAAAAATGCAGGATGAACCAGCTTTAGAGGCCTCGCAAGACATGAAATTCGAAACCGCTTCCGCCGCCGACCCGATATTGGAGGCCTCCAAGAACGACGACGGCAGTACCGTGAAGCGCGCTAGGGAAGACGATGATGAGGAAGCGGAAAAACAGAAGAAACCAAAGGTCGACAATGAAATAGTGGAAAAGAAAGAAGGGTTGGAGTCGGGTGCTGTCAGTGCGGGTCCGAAGACATTCTACTCATCCGAGGATATGTTTGAATACTTCTATAAGATTCTTCATTTCTGGACTCCCAATCTTAATATCAATAAGGTAAACTTAAACTGTGGTTTTTCTTAGTTGTTTTTATTTTCAGTATCATAAGTTGGGCTTATATTTTTCTGTAATTGGAATCTGCAAGCTCTGCAATTCTTGGTAGTTCTGTCAAGAAAAAATGTTTTACTTGTTTGAATAATTGATGTTGGAATTGGAAATCAAAATCTGTGATTCTAATTTGTCTGTAAAAGATTTAATATTTGAAATTTAATTCTGTGCCATAGACAGCATAAGAGTAATTGAAATTTAAGTAGCATGCATTGCATATGCAAGTTTTGTTCTTTTGGTCTGTTCTTTTTGGCTCGTGATTGGAGGATGATATGCATTGGATTGCGAATTATATTGTTTTGAGGGTAGAAGAAGATTATATTGGAGAATGATTATGATGAAATTATATATAACGTGTGCAGTGTGCTTTTGGAAATGATTATGAGGTTGTGTTTGTGTTCTTTTTGAAATTATACATGATTTTGCCATTCTCAATTAGAAGATTGTAAACTAATCACAGGAGTCTGAATGATTTGTTTTGCATTATCGTCACTTATATGATGTTTTCCATGGGTGAATTTACTGTCTGCTTCAAATAATTGTTGTCAAGGGATTGAACTTTAAAGTTTGTGCTTGGTAATTTAGTTATAATTTTAAGTTGGAGGGAGGAAATTGGCTGCAGATGCCTGCATTTAACCAAAAGTAAACTAAAGAGTAACCGAAACACAATGCAAGGAGAAAATGTAAAAGGAAAGACACCAAACATACTGTGGTTCGATCAGGAAGTGATCTACATCCACGTAGAGCTCCATCGAAGAAGCTAGTATGAATTGAAGATCCGGAGCAATACAATTTTGTGTACAAGACTTCACTGAAATCCTCAAGAGATGAAAACAAATCCTAATACAACCTCTATTATATTATGAGAAGAAGGACATAGACTGATGGTGTAAAAGCCGTCTTATACATAACAAATAAAGCCCAAATGATTATGCTAGGATCTAAGAATAAGGACAGATGCAAAAATCGGAGTGCGGTGAGAGATTAGATCTAAAATTTGACAAATTGTGTCCTTACATTTTCTGCTCACTGGTAATCTTAACTCTGCAGCTCAAGGGCTATTGTGACAATCAAGAGCGTACAGGTGTGAGGGATCTGAGGGTAAAACCGTAAAAGCACTTTGTCTCCTCAGTTGTCTGACTGTAGCCTCTAGGAGGTTAATACTTTTCATGTTTATTTACGTACTCTCTGTTTAGCTATCACCTCTGTCAAATCATTCTATATTCGATCATTTTGGGCATTATTTCTTTTGTCAACTCAACTGCTCTCAGTTGTGCCAGACATCTCTTTGAGAATTGACTTTACTGTGGATTTTGGAACTGGATTTATAAATGATTGTAAGTATTTGATTTTCTCTTATGTTTTATCACTACAAAAAAAAAAAAAAAAGCAAAACAATATTATTTTTTTTTTTTGAGTTTTTTTTTTTTTTTTTAAAAAAAAAAAAAAAAAAAAAAAAGCAAAACAAAAAACAAAAAACATATCATGTTAGGCAATGGAAGGGGATCTGTTTCCGGATCATCAGATGTTGTGGAGATTTTAGAGGTGGTTTCCTAGTATCATAAATAAGCCGAAAACTGAGTTTTCGATGTTGGTGTTCATTTTTTTGTAGTTTTCAGCATTTTTTATCTAAACATTACTTAAAAGTAATAATGAACACGTGAATCTAAATATGTAGTGTGAAATTGGCCTGATCTCAAAGTTGTATGTTTTTTTTCCCCCAGTACGAACACATGGCGTTGTTGGAATTGCTCAAGAAGGGTCATTTGGAGCCGGAGAAAAAGATTGGTAATGGGATTAAAGCGTTCCAAGTCCGATACCATCCTCAGTTCAAAAGTCGATGCTTCTTCCTTGTAAGGGAGGATGAATCTATTGATGATTTCAGCTTCAGGAAGTGTGTGGATCACATACTACCCCTGCCAGAAAACATGCAAATAAAACATGATGTCAACAAAGCATTGCGCGGAAAAGGTGGTGGCCATGGCCGTGGACGTGGACGTGGACGCGGCAGAGGAGGAAGAAATTGAGGCGGCTGTCTCTGTTTTTGTTTTCCATCGACTTAAGTAACAGAAATTGAGTCGTGGAAATGCTGCACCTGCTATTATTTCTACATCGGTGTACTATTAAGTATTAAGTAATCCAAAGTTTGACTTTTGTTGCACTTCGATTTTTTTTCCCTTTTCTTGGTGAAATTTAAGTGTTCTCTCGATTGAGTTTACTGTCAAGATTTAGCACAGGAACTGCACAATAAATTCTTCATTGCTTACGTTATCCTTAAAAGACATGAATGAAGTAATAAGGAGCGAGTTTTACAGTGTAGAAAAAAAATTGTGGATCTTAGATAATATGTGGATAAAAATGATATTTGATCAACTTATAAGCTAGAAAAAGTACTCCCAAACTTGCTCTAAATTGAATTGTGGAGTCTGGTATAATATTAAATAAAAAAAAGTTAAAATCTTTTATATTGTTCATACAGTAACGAACGTTATTGACACATATCTTTAAAGAAGTCGATGGAAAATTATTTTCATTATTAACCTCTTTTGTCAATTTTTTCTTCAGTTTTTGAAGTTAAATAAACTAATTAAATATTATCAAAGGTCATTAACATTAAAATATTTATAAATGGTCTTAGACTAATTAAAATATTGTTAAGTCAAGAAATATGAAGTGTTCTGTTATGCCTAGATTTCGTCTAGACACATTTGGATTAGAGGTGAACATAGTTTGATTTGGACAATATTTGAAAATATTCACACTAAACTACTTAAAGCTATTTGAAATTTTCAACAAACAAAACTACTTCACTTTCTAAACCAAATCACTTTTTTCGATTTGATGCGATTTAAAACTATGATTTAACAAACAAAAAAATAACATATATCAAACAAGTTAAATCATTAATATTAGTCTAAAATGTCATGTTAACATATAAATATGAGCATCATTACAATTACTAGTTAGAGTTGAACATGCATTACACATAATTCTGAAATATTTTATAAGTTATGTAAAAGTAATATTTGATATCAATTTATTGGGAGGATTTGATGAGTCTCAAACGAACTAAAGAAAATAAATCTTAGAATAAATATTTAAGAGAAGAAAATTATACTCTCAAAACTCAACTTTTATAATTCAATTTTTTTTGTGATGGTGAAATGCTACAAATGAGCAACTTTTTTTTATACTACATTTGGTGCATAAGAATTAATTTTCAATACATGAATTTAAACATTCATTAAAATTCCTAGATACATGAATATAAATAAATTCATTTATAATAATTCTAAATGCATGTAGATCAAGATTCATCAAGTCAAGATTAATTGAGCCTAAATTATGTAAATGTTAATTAACTGAGAATTAATAACACGAAATTCATAGATAATTATGATTTTATAATATTTATTATATATTGAAAAACGAAAAATAATGTATTATTAAAATAATTGAATTGTATTAATGTTAAAATCGTTCAAAAAATAATTCTCATTTAATGTGATATTTAATATATTATAGATAATAAACAAAATTCTATATTCTAATTATTACAATGAAACAAAATGGTAGAAACAATTTAGTTTTAACATCTTGGGCATACTAATTGGCACAACATCATCATCGGTAACACATGATTCATTCTCTATATAAAGATAGAATATACACTTGTATTCATTAGTTATAATTAAATGGTGTAAATAACTAATAAAAAATTAGTACAAAGATCAAGAGTCCGTTTGTTTCCGATTAAAATCCAATTAAAATTGAAAATATGGCCATTATTGGATCTCACTCATCTAATAAAAGTCAACAATAGCGGCTAATTTTTCAATTTTAATCCGATTTTAATCTCTACCGAACAAGCCCCAAATATGTTAATATCTTCTACAATTTTCTCTGAATCATTCGAAGCCGCTTCCGCATTCAAATGCTAACAAATAACTATAGGTTCCTTGTTACTTAACCAATTCTTAGTGCAACTCACCACATCAACTATCTTTATAGTCAACTAACTCCTAAAGGAATCGATAACTCGACCACTAGTGAAGGATACAGACTCAAAAGTAACTATGGATATTTCAATGGCTAATACATCTTTGACAATTTGAGAGACAATCTTGTACTTTAATAATATGTTAAAAGCTCATTGATTAAATCTTTGTTTGAAATTTGTTTAGAAAATTGAAAATTTGGTCAAGTGTCAAAACCAAAAATTTGGAAAAGTAATTTTCGTGTCAACTTCATCCAAATATTCGGACTTGATCCAATGGTCAAGTTACAAAACTAAATAGACCAACTTGTTCTACTCGTCGATTAGATCGTCGTGATATCTTTGGAATCTCAAAATCAATTCCGGATGAATAAGAAATTGCTGTCCAAAGTTGTGAAGAAAAGAAAGGAAACTGCCGAAAATTTGCCTAAGTGTGTTGCTAGCCTAATGCTGGACTCTCGCTTGAGCGACAAGCTAGCAACATGCTAGTGACGAAGTCACTGTTTTTATCGCTCTAGTGAGGCAATAGTGACATGTTAGCGACAGTGAATGATGCGACCTTTGGTAAGAGTTGTTGAGTTTGGGGCGCGACACTTCTTTCACAACCCATCATCAACTATATATAGGACCCATTGGACGTCCATTAGGCATTCCATACTATCTTTGCATTGAGCATTGTATAAAAACTCTTGCAAATCACTTCCAAATTTATTCAAAATCGTTTTCTTCTTTTTAGAGAGAAACTCCGTCAAAAGTTCGTTGTAACTTGTGGTTTCAAGTGTTTCTACCACAAGTTGAATTCGTTGTATCTTAGGAGACAAATGCCATAAAGTGTGAACACCGTTGCGGTGCAATTTTATCTTAAGGAAAGAGTGAAATCACTTACCTCGAATTCTTCTTCTTCTTCTTGATTTTAATTTTTTGGGTTTTCGTTTATAGTTTACATACTACTTTTCCACCCATATTTATAGTGTTTAATCACGCTCCTGTAGATTAAACTTTGTTTTTGTTCGTTCAATATACAACAACTCTTTCATCCGCACTTATATTTAGCCCGCATCGCCAACAATCTTCACAATGATTATTTAAGTAATCCATCAAATCATTCTTCTCTACTTAAACCATAATTCTAGCTTCTAAAATGAAGGCATCGGTTTGGAAATACCCAAAATAGTTTGTGAAGGACTTGGACTCTTGGGTTGAAGCTAATAGTAAAGTCATCATTTGCCTGAAGCATTTATATAACCTATAAAGGACCTGGGTCAAATACGAATGTCTTTGTAATTGGGACGCATTTATTTTTAATTGGGTTGGATAAAATTTAAATTTACTCGCAAATTTGTTTTTGTCAGCAGTTTGACGATTTGAAACGATTTACAAAAATTGAAACATAAACCAAATCACTTCAAAATTGTTTAGTTCGCTTCAAAATCAAAACATTGATGGATCCATGTGGATTCAAACAAGTGCTTTGGAAAAATGGGTTTATGTTCTATTTTACAGTTTGACGATTACATTGTTCAGTTTTAATTTAGGTTTGTAAGTATTGATCTTATCGCCTTGCCATCTTTTACATTTTTTATAGCCTTGATTTTTCCTACCCTAAAAGTTGTATATGATACAATGTGTTGACGTCGAAAATTGTTTGAACAAGATTCAAGCCAACTTAAAATGAAAATAAGAGTTTTATTGATAACGACTTGCAAATTATAATTATAACTACAAGTGTTTACTCTTTTTCCTCAAGGAGATATTTTAAGTATGAAGTGTTTTGAGCCTTTTGCTTCCCCCTTCCCTCTCCAAGACTCCCATTCTTCTTTTTATAGGGAAGGGTTAACATGCATTCATTATTTCTTTGTCTTATCAGCTACAGTACCGAGCTGAAAAAATACATTATTGGCATGTTTGGATTGGTTAACAAGCTCGACTTGTCAGGTCATCATGAGTTTAGCCTTATAGTTGGTCCTCAACAATTAATGAATTACTTAGGGGAGGAAGATAAAATATATGATTGGTAGACTTGGTGGATGCTGATGTAAGACCTTCCATATGTCACCCGTTAATTGAGGGTTTGTATAATGTGTAATAAACATTCAATCATTATGTCTTCTTAAAGCTCGATAAACTACATAAATCGAGTTGACCTCACATATCCGAACTCATATTAGTATGAGCTTAAAGCATATAACCACTTGTACTTAATGACCTCGAGGGTCGGACGCCAGCACAATGTACAATAAAATAATAATATTAGGACCAAGAAATTTATTATTTTAATGGATTATTAATTTATCGATAAATGAATAATTTATTAATTCATTGATATACTACGTAAAGTCATTTCTAATTTGCGTTACAAAGATGCGACGTGTGCCAAGTACCAATTAAATTTTTCAAATGAAAATGAAAAGATGATGGAATAGCGTATTGACAAAAGATTATTTCATGGGGTACTCAAGATGCCTATCGAGGATAACCATGATTTAGATGATACTTGTGTTTTACCAATCGTTCCCCAAAAGAAATATTTTAAGCATCTTAACCTTGAATAATTACTTTTTACAATTTTTTTTAAATAGCAAAGGTGGTATATGAATTGCAAAATTATTAGGGATGAGGTTGGGTTCGGTAGGAATACAAAGAAGAAGAAAGCAACATTATATGCATATTTTTAGAAAAAATAGAAGTTGTCGAGTAATTTTTTTAGTACGTGATGTGGTCATTATTATGGACACCTCGAGCATGAGGACTGCAAGGGCTCTTCTTTTTGGATTATGGGACCCGAGTCCTCGAGCTTGCATGGTGCTCGAGATACCTCGAGGATGGACCTTCCAAAATACCTCCAAAATCACATTGGTAGTCCTCGGGGGTATATGCTCGGGATTTTGCCTTAGCCAAATTCTCAAAGTGCCCCGTGATCAAGCGTTACTAGTCCTCGTCCCGAAAGAGCCCTAACCCTATCCAATTACCTCAAATTAGGAATCCTAGGTCCTGAAGGAGTTTTACCTTGAGGAACACTTCAAATAAGGAAGGAGACTTCCATACAACTCCAATCACTACGCTATCTCCTAAAAATAAGGAGATGAGTCCTTCTAGGACTCAACTACCTACCTCTATAAATACACTATTTTCATCCATTATTCAGGTACGTTTTTCCACACATACATTCAGCAATATATACTCAATTTCCCTGTTTGACTTAAGTATTGGAGGGGCGACGAGGACACACCTCGACACCTTTGTTTCAGGTACCGGAAGATCTTGTTCGTGATCAATCTCAGTGCTCAAGCTCGGGATCCAACAGGTGACGATTTTTGGTAAGATCATTATGTATTATAAAATTTTATGTATTTAACCAATTGCTATTCTATATTTTCATTGGGCTTGGCTTTTAAATTAAATAATTATCTTATGTATTTAGAGAGATTATAATCTAATACACAAGCCCGATTCACGGTGAGAAAATTTTATTATTTAAACGAAACTATAAGTTTATCAAATATTCATTTATCGAGATACCGGTCGAAATGTTGAGCATTAGCGTTTTCGGGGCTCTTCAAATAGTGACTGCAGAAGGAAGGGTTGGAACAACTATGGTCTCGACATTCAAGGCCTATTTTCGTGGACTGCATCACTATTTTTATTCAATAGAGAGAGGAATGAAAAATATGCAACGTAATTGCGATATTAATGGAAGTGCATGGACATTTATTTTCATTAGTATAACCTCTTTGGTCAATTAAGAGCTAATAAGAGTACATAATGAGCCAGTAACCACTCATTTGTAAATAGGATTGAGATAAATAAATTGGATAGTAACCTCCAAATGAATGCTAAATGATTTATTATAACTTCACTCATTATGCATATAAAGGATTGCCCCGTTACACTTACAATTTACAAATTGCTATATGTATATATATATTAAATAAAATTATATTTCCATTCGTTGAACTAAATTGTGTGACTTATTTTGGTACCAATGTTTTAAAAATTGACATGGATATTGACCCGACAAATGTAAGGTCTAGAGTTGAACACACAGTAGAAAATGGTTCTGAGATTCCTTTAATGGTTCAAAATATTCATTTTTTTTTGCATATAATTGGATTGGATTTGGGTTAGTCCATGTTTTTTCGACTGCAGAAGGAACGGAATAGTTTGATATTGTATATCCTATAACGATATATAGTACCATTAGATATATGCATAGCTGAATTATGCTGCTCGACATTTGATGCGAATCACACCCCTAACAACCCAACAAGGTATACTAATCCTAATCTTCTTTAAGGAAATGATTGTGTTTTTTACTTAATTAAAACACTATGTATAATTATTAATTTGAGGAGAAAACAAGTTGTGAAGTGATAATTTGGATTAGATTAGCGTGCCTTAACCCAAATTGTTTGAATGCCGTGCCATTTTAACAGATCCCAAGCATTCAACATCTTATCAATTCAAAACAAAAGGCACATTTTTTTACAAGTGAAAAATGCCTATATTTTTCACTTTCCTATTTATAAAAATTATTATTATTATTTATTTATTTTTTGAAAAAAATATGCCTTCTCGTGTTACTTTCTTCTCATATTCGGACTAGAAAGTTTGAACTTTTTATTTTATTTTTTCATCTCAAAACTCAATCCTAGTGAATTTTTCGGATCTCTATGTCACACAAGCCCTCATCATTGAAGATTTGCAACATATTTTATTAGCGATGAAATTTTTTCTGAATATTCCTCTATATTATTTCAATTAGAAACTTCGAATTCCATTAAACAAATGATCATATAGTTTAATTTCAAGTTTCCAACTTGTAGAAAACACAAGCTAATCAATAATGAAAATTATGTACATATATATTTAGTATGCGCATACATGCATCGAAGTTGGACATAATTAATCCTTAAGACGGCGCACGATCTACTGTGCAGTAAATCTCCATAATTACATTCCCATTAATACGTGTATACATACATATATACGCGTAATAGTCACTATTGGACTTCAGAAAACCACAAAACCGACTCCCCCGCACCACCCAATTTCTGTGTAAAAGATGGGAAAAAGTCTATGATGGGACGGTCAAATTATGAAGTAATGGCCAGAGAAGAATACCAAGATGTTTTCTCCTTTCCAAGCCAACTACCATCATTGGATTTCAGGTTTATACTAATATTTTGAAGACTTTATGATTTCATACTCTTAGACTAATGCAAATTGCATATATCTAACGTTGTTGTGTGTGTTTTTGTAATGTGAAAAATCAGTAGTTTTTCTGCTAATTTGGAGTTTCAGCATCATTTGCCTATCCAAGAAACTGCTTTTGAGGCTGATCCTTTAATGGGGATGTTTCTGTATGATGATCCCTTGTATTCCAGTTTGAATATTGAACCAATTCAGACCCAAATTCCAGGTGATGATCGTAATCTTTTTCATAAAATCAAGATTAACTTATAAACTTTTGAAGTGATTTCCCTGAGAGGGTTTTGTCAAATTTATGCAGAGAATTTCTTCTGCGGTTATGGAAGTGCATTGACAGGGTTTGAAACTTGGAAACCTCAGTTACTTTTGGAGAATACTAATGAAGAGATAACTGCAGAGGAGCCAGTGCAGGAGGAGAAGAGAGTTAAAAGGCAAAGAGAGATGAAAAACGATGCAAGTAATTGTAAAATCTTATCCAGGGAAACAATTTCTCAGTATTTTTACATGCCAATTACAAAAGCTGCAAGGGAACTCAATGTGGGATTAACCCTTTTGAAGAAACGGTGTAGAGAATTAGGAATTAGAAGGTGGCCACACAGGAAGTTGATGAGTCTACAAACCCTAATCAATAATGTCCAGGTATGAATATCTATATGTACATATGTATAATAGTTCTGTTTTTTACTGTCCAGTCTACGTTTCTAAACATGTCAGAAAGTTTTAAATTATTCGATTTACGGGTTTTTACAGGAACTTGGACAAGAGGAAGGAGAAGGGAAGCTGAGAGATGCAATACAGATTTTGGAACAAGAGAAGAAGTTGATGGAAAAGATACCTGATATGCAATTGGAAGACAAAACTAAGAGGTTGAGGCAAGCATGTTTTAAAGTAAATTACAAGAAGAGAAAGCTCTTGGCCGGAATGTCGTCGATGATGCCAGAGTCAAAATCTGCAGGTTCTAGTGATAATCCAGCAGCAAGTGTTGAAATGAATGTTTTAGACTGTGGTGGCTGTAGGGATGAAGACGACGATGATGATGGAGAGATAAAATCTCTCTTGTCTAACTGTTTTTCTTCTAGTAGTGACAGTCTTTCGAGTCTTGTCGAAGTCATAGTCAAGTAGGGTCGGGTCGTGGTCGAAGAAGCATTATAACTAAAAAATTGTTTTGTAAAGTAATTACTTTCTTGAGTTCCTTTCTTTATCTTTTTGTCTGTCTCGACATGTGTGTCAGAATCGAGGCAGAATTAGTTTGTGAATGTACGACTTGGGTTTGATTTGTGGCTTAACTTTGGTTGTTATTGTGAGTTTTGTGTTTATGTATTTCCATTTCATTTGCGTATGTTACTATTTTAGGTTGAGGTATTTTGTGCAGTTACTTTGTAGTAATTTGCGGCAGTACAAATCTTCAAATTCCAAGAAATAAGGATTTTTCAATACTCTACCTTTGAGACAAGAATGCCTCGTAACGCCGGGTAAAATGTGTGCCTTCTTGTATAACATTCAAAATACTCGGAGTGGTTTTGAACATCATCACTCTCTAATACTTGAAGTTTTTAGACAAGGTAGTTCCATGTTGTATTGGAATATTTTAAGGTCAAATGTTTGAAATTGTGTGCATCAAGTGTTGAATGAAAAATAATGAAAGAATGCCAATTTGGACTTTTAACGACAGTTACCCAACCATATATTCAAGAAGCAAAGAATTTATAGATTCAAGTATAGATTTTCCACAAGAAGCATTTTTTTTTTCCAACATATCTCCTACGTTGGCTAGACAGTCTGCGCGACATTTTCTTGTCTTATTGTGTGAATGATCTCTTTCCAGTTAAAAGAAAAGACGAAAAATTTCAAACGGAGATATGTTTCGATTTTTTATTATGTCTACCACATCTTTCAGTAAGCTTCGATTTTAATAAAAATTAATGAAATATATATGATTGAAAATTTAATATAAGTTGTGGGTCCCATAAAAAATACGATAAAAAATCAATTTTAAAGAATTGGAGTCAAACATGAGCTAAATCTACCGCTTCCATGGAATCTATTTCTAGCACAACATTCAGGCAATCCCTGTCTTTGATAAGCGTCAAACCTCGAAATAATGCCCATAAGTTAAGCTCGATGCATGTCCGATAGTGACCAAAAACCTTGTTATCCATTTCCCTTTATCATTCCAAATAATTCCACCAATAGATTAACTTGCTTAAGACAATAAATTGGATGGTTCAACATGAACATTGAATAGGTTTATAGAAGGAAAGTATTGCTTAAAAGCCTCCAAGTGAATACAAATTTATAAATGATTTATAATTTCAGTCAAAATCAATTGCACGTCCATAATTATTGCTCCTTATTAATCACACATTTCGTAAGACTCATTATTATTTATCTTTATAAATCATTTAGAAATTTGTCAAATGAAAATAAAAGTACTTAGGGGGTGTTTGGTGTACATTATGGAGAAGAAAATGTATTTTATGATGTGATGTGATGGAAAATATGTGGTTAAAAAATAAGAAAAATATGGTCCAAACATGTTATAAAAGGACATCAATGTTTTTTGAGAACATACTTATGTTTGGCCCCTATTTTTTCAAAAACTCATTTTATAAAAATTTATTTTCAATCACACATTTTTTCATAAAATAATTTTAGACGTAAATTGAAGATATTTTTCTTATTTTTTAACTACACATTACAAAAAAAAAAAAAAAATTACTATTCCAAAACAAACCTACAAAAATGGGGGCACATATGAGCCCATTTAAACATAAATGTTCCTTTTGAGCGAGGTATTTCTACCCGCCATTTCTGAACCTTTTCTGCTACCGGTTCAAATCAAAAGTAACATGCTCAACCGCAATTCAACCTTTTGCTGCCAAAATCAACCACCCGCAACTCCAAATTAATGGAAACTGTATATTCTTTCCTTCTTTCACAATCGCTCCACCGTTTCTCTTTCTTTCGGTACCACTCTGCAGCGGCTGCTGCACTTGAATACCACCTCCACCACTACCCTCTGTCCAACCCCAACTCCACCACACCTAATGCCTATCAAGAAAAGACAATCATTTCCCTAACAAAATATTGCACCCACAAAACCCAATTGCTTCAACTCCAAACGCATCTACTGCGCACTTTTCATTTTTATAATCCAACCATTTTTCTCTCCTTTCTCTCCCGTTTTGCGCTCCCTCCGTTACATGATTTATCCTACTCTTATAAGATCTTTTGCCAGTTCCCAGCTCCTAATGTTTTGTTATACAACACCATGATCAGAGCTTATTCGTTAAGAAATGATGTGGCTAAGGAAGGGGTTTTATTATATCAAGATATGCTTCATTCGGGCATTTTACCAAACGCCTTGACGTCGATGTTTGCAACGAAGTGCTGCATAAAGTTTGGATCTTTGTTCAGTGGGATACAGATTCACGCTAGGATTTTGAAAGATGGGCATCAATCTGATAGCCTTTTGCTGACAACATTGATGGATTTTTATTCGTCTATGGAGAAAGGTAGTGAAGCTCATAAAGTGTTTGATGAAATTTCTCATAGAGATACTGTTTCTTGGAATGTGTTGATTTCTTGCTTCATGCGCACCAGGCGAACTCGAGATATATTGGGTTTGTTTGATGCAATGAGAAAGTCAAATGAGTGTCAACCTGATGAAGTCACTTGTCTCTTTGTACTTCAGGCTTGCGCCAGCTTGAATGCATTGGAATTTGGCGAACGGGTTCATAATTACATTGAAGAACATGATTTTCACAATATGACGAATGTTTGCAATTCTCTCATAGCAATGTATTCACGCTGTGGATGTATGGAAAAAGCTTATGATGTGTTCAAGGGGATGGTTAGCAGAGATGTTGTGACATGGAGTACAATGATTTCGGGTTTAGCTTCTAATGGTTATGGTAGAGATGCAATTGAGGCTTTCAAACAGATGCAAAAAGCAGGCCTTGTGCCCGATGATCAGACTTTTACTGGGGTTTTATCAGCTTGTAGTCACTCGGGGCTAGTCAATGAGGGTAGGATGTTCTTCGAGGCTATGAAGAGAGACTTCGGAGTTGTACCTAACATTCACCATTATGGATGTATGGTAGATATCTTAGGCCGTTCCGGTCTGGTAGACGAGGCTTATGACCTTGTAATTTCCATGCCGATTAAACCAGATGCGGCCATGTGGAGGACATTGCTTGGAGCGTGTAGAATTCATCGACATGTAGTCCTTGGTGAAAGAGTTATTGAGCATTTGATTGAACTCAAGGCTCAAGAAGCAGGGGACTATATTCTCTTGCTGAATATATATTCTTCAGTGGGAAACTGGGAGAAGGTTATAGAAGTGAGGAAATTGATGAAGGACAGAGGAATTCAAACGACACCTGCTTCTAGTACAATCGAGATGAAAGGGCGAGTGCACGAGTTTGTTTCAGATGATGTTTGTCATCCGCGCAAGAAAGAAATTTATGAAATGCTGGATGAAATTAATCAACAACTAAGAATTGCTGGTTATGTCGTTGAAATAACTTCAGAATTGCATAATGTGGAAGAAAACAGTAAGCAATATGCACTATCTTATCACAGTGAGAAATTGGCAATTGCTTTTGGAGTTCTTGCTACCCCACCTGGCACAACAATAAGAGTTGCAAAAGACCTCCGAATATGTGCAGACTGCCATAATTTTGCCAAAATTCTGTCGGCTGTTTATAATCGGAAAGTGGTCATCAGAGATCGTAATCGTTTTCATCATTTCGAAGAAGGACGCTGCTCGTGCAATGATTATTGGTGATGGTTTATATAATTTGACAAATCTCATGCCGTAACAAGAAAACAGGAAGATATAGCTGGGGATGTTCGTCCTCTGGTTGATCCTGACTGAGATGACGCACTTTTTGTGCAGATGGCTTTCACACCTACTTTACCTGAGGAAGTATGTAGCAAAATCCACTGAAGGCTTCATCTTAAGGATGGCAGTTTAGGCTAAAGTTATTACGACCAAATGCTATTGATTTTAGGACGATTAAATGAGATGGAAGACTTACTATAACGTTCTTCATGAAAGGAAATAACGTCAAGGTGAGGTCTGTCCGTTGCAGCTAGTAGAAGTTCATCAAGTTACATACTCTCTGATGCTTAGTGGATACCATTCAAACCTCACCAAGATTCCTAGTAATTGTCGTGAGAACTGTGAAAGCCATCTAAAGCAGCTAATTTGTAACACATTTGCTTCATGTTACATCAAAGTTGGATACTTGGATTCAATTATATAACAAAATCAATTGAAAATTTAGCCTCTACATTTGCTATTTGGAATGTGTTTAGCATAATAGTCGAATTCCTTATTCGAGAAATACAAGCAAGCCACTGCAAATGCTAATTTCGCGTCTTTCAAAGTTATGTCATTAGCTGATTGCTCATTTTTTATATGTTGATCTTGTGAGAAGCAACCTGAATGCACTTGAGCAGAATGGTTTAGCTTCTTAGGAAAATAAGGCACTTTAGGAGATTAAATTTATCCAAAAAACTACAAAATACGAGGACTAGAGTACCCCAGCAATGTTGTTGATAGATCTGCAGAACTACGTAACATATGAGAGCAAATTCTACAACTCTTAAGTACTCCTCTACAACAGAAGCACTTCAACGCTGAAGACGGGGATCTCGATTGACTACAAAACTGAAATGCTGCTGCAGTCGTTCATCTAGCTGTAATAAAAGTCTATGCTGATACTGCTTGCTTCTGACGAAAAGCTATGCCCTTCTCAATGCTGGCCTTAAGCTCTGCTCGAGAGCTTCCAAAGCCTTCTGTTCATACTCGGTTAATCCTTGAAGGTCCAATGTAATCAATGCCTCAACCCCATGCTTTCCAAGCTTAACTCTGGATGCAAAGAATGGAAGGTAAGTCAGGTCAGACTGGACATAACAGCATTCATTGACATCACTATCTCCATGAAGTGCGCAGAGTGAAGACTCAACAAAGCATGCTGCAGCATATGCCACTGAAAGAGTGGCAGACCCTGCTCCAGCCTTTGCCTCGACAACTTCAGTCCCAGATTCTGAATCCTCACAATTAGCTCTTGCACTTCTTCATCGGTCAGCAGGGGTAAAATAGTTATCCCTGCATGTCCTCCAACAACTGGGACATCAACATCAATGAGCTTCAGGTTTTTCTTCTGAGAAACAAATGTATTTGCCCGACAACATCAAGAGTGGTAACATCAAAGAGCTTCTTTGGACCATATACTCCCTTCTGCTTCAAAACTTCAGCTGCAATTGACACTGTGGAGTTGACTGGATTGCTAATAATGTGAATGAAGGCATCCGGGCAGCTACAACCTCGACTAAAGTTTTAACTGTGTCGGTATTAATGTTAAATAGGTCATCACATGTCATTCCTGGCTTCCTTGGAACACCAGCAGGCATGACAACAAGATTTACACCCTTCAAAGAATCTGCCAACACAGATGTTCCTTTAAGAGTAAATTTAATCAACAATCACTGAACTTTCAAGTTGTTCCACTTACTCATTGAACTTTAATGCGTTACCGAACACTCACTCATCTTTCCTTATGGTTACCCATCCACCACTCACTCCACTCCCGTCTCTTAAAATTGACAGAAAATTACACGTGGTTGACAGTTTTCTTACGTGGCAAACACCCCGTGTTAAATTGCCAATGTGTAATTAAAACCCACAACATTAACCTTTAAAATCAACACAATTTCTGCTCACTGGAAGAAAAAACAAAACTGGAAGTCTCTGCATTTCTTGAAATTCTCCTTGAAATCAATGTATTAGACTTGGGAATTCTTCTCTTGTGTGGATAATGGAGGGCATAGGTGACCCACAAGGCCCTTACATGGAAGAAGCATTGTTGGAAGATGAGTAAGAAAGAGTTCTGGAACGTAATTTTTTAAAACTATTTTGTTGGAACATGATTTGTTTCCTTATGGACATAAAGTTTAAGAAATGGATGTTTATCTAATTGATTATAAAATGGAGGAGGAAATCATGGCCGATAATTAGGGTTTTGGAGAAGTGCAATCATGCCTTCCATTTGCAGTGTATACAACAATGGCTGTTATGAAGGAGAAGTGCAGCCATTGCTTAATATTACACTTTCTTTATTTGTTTGGGAAATTTTATAATATGAAGTAGTTAACTTCAGACTTCAAAAATGTCCCAGTTGCATATTTGTTTTAATTACCTTTTCTTTTTGCATTGTAGTGACGAACAATGAGAGCGAAGATTTGGTGCCACTAGAGTGCCAGTTAAATGAATCGGAGGATGATGTGGATGATGGTCGTTTTCATTATCAGATAAATGCATCGGGAAGAGTTCTGGTTGGTTTGAATGCTGGGGAAGATGATGGCTCAGAATTGGATGATCCATATTATGCATATTCTGAGGAGGAGTTGCATACTGATCATTCTTCAGATAAGGAAAATAATTATTGTTTCCGTACGTAGGATGCTGAGATGGAGAAGTTTAATCCACAATTAGAGGTTAGAAAAGAGTTCAAAGACATAGAAGAGTTTAAGAAAGCAGTTAGACATCATGGAGTTGTCACTAAGCGTAATTTGAAGTTTACGGTGAATGATGAAAAGAGAGCATAGTGAGTGTGCAAAAATAAGGATTGTAAGTGGAAGATTTGGGCTTCATGGAATAAGAATAAGGGTTGAATTCAAATTAAGACATTCAATTCACGTCACACATGCATACGAGACAGAATAAATAAGCATTGCACAGCTAAGTATGTTGCTGAGAAGTACATAGAGACTTTCAAGATTGCCCCTGATTGGAAGTCAGAACTTATTATTAAGTCTGTGAGAGATGACTTGAAATTAATAATCAATAGAGTTACTGCATGGCGAGCTAGAAGACACGTTAGGATATTGATTGAAGGCTCCAATGAACACCAGTTTGGCCTGCTTTGGTCTTTTGCTCATGAGACATTGAGAAGCAATCCAGGATCCACATGTATAGTTACCACGCATAATTCGAAGTTTCAAGGGGCTTATATATGTTTAGAAGCTTGCAAGAGAAGTTTTATGAGTGGTTGTAGGCAACTTTTAGGCTTAGATGAGTGTTTTTTGAAAGGGAATTTTGGTGGATAGATGCTTGTTGCAGTTGCACTAGATGCCAATGATTGTATTTACCCCGTAGCATACGCAATAGTGGAGACGGAGAATGCTAGAAGTTGGAGATGGTTCGTTAGTCATTTGGGTGAAGATTTAAGGATTGTGAATAGTAACGAATGGACTTTTATGACTGATAGGCAGAAAGGATTACAAAAGGTTATCGAGGAGTTGTACCTTGATGCTGAACATAGGTTTTGTGTGAGGCACATGTATACAAATATTTTTAGGGCTGAATTTAAGAGTTTGACACTTAAAGGTTATTTATGGAAAGCTGCAAAGTCAACTACTGTACCTGATTGGAAGTTTTGGATGGATGAACTTGCGAAGGAGAGTGCGGGTGCATTTGAGTAGTTAAGTAAAAGGGATCCACGTGAATGGAGTGAGTCGCATTTCTCCACTGAGGTAAAGAGTGATATAGTACTTAACAAATTTATGTGAAGTTTTCAATAATGTAGTATTAGAGGATAGGGAAAAATCTATCTTGACTATGTTAATTGACATGCATATTAGCTGCATGAAGAGGATACAATCAAAGAGGGATAAGATGAGAAGAGCCATAGGACCTTTGTGTCCTAAGATTCAACAAAAATTAGCTAAATCCATGGAAATAGCCGAGGAGTGTGAAGTAGAGTGGTCTGGGGGCCCACAGTTCTATGTGAAATGTCGTACTGGGGAATATGTAGTTGATTTGTCAAATAAGACTTGTGCATGTAGGAGATGGGATTGGACGGGGATTCCATGTGGACATGGGGTTGCTGTTATACTAGACAGAGGAGATAATCCTACAAAGTATGTGCATGAGTGCTACAGGTGCAAACCTATCTACAGTGTTATGAAAACATTGTCAATCATATTAATGGTAAGAAATTGTGGCCGAAAGTGAATGCTATCCCTATACAACCACCGGGTTGGGTGGTGGCGAAGAGGGGAAGGAAACAAAAAAAATGCAGAAGGCAGCAAGAGGAAGATGTAATCACTCATTCCAGTACAACTTCATGAATGAAGAAAAAAGGGACAGTGAAGATGACATGCAGTCTATGTAGGTTACCTGGCTACAACAAGCGTTACCATGATAGGGCAGATGCACCAATGGAGGTTTGTATTTCTTTAACTATGAAGAGGTTTGTTCTAAAGTTGTGTAGTAGAAATCATGTTTTGTAACTATGTTTCCTATTTTCAGAATTGGGCTGGAAATGATCTCAATCACATAAATCAAGATGGAGCAAGCCAAGTTGAAAGTCAAAGTTCAAGGGTAATTTTTTCGATGTTGTTACTCTATGATTACCATTCATTTCATATTCAAGTCTCTTACCCATTTCTCTAACATAGGCCAAGCTGGTAACTCGAAGAGCAAACAAGAATTCAACGAATGAAGTGAAACACAATCCTCCAACAAATGGATACATTTTCATGCCCACACCTGGACTTCGGGTCACGAGTGATGCACAACCTAACAACAATGGTCCTTCCAATTAGCTGTAGTTTAGGGTCTGATCTTAGAAATTTTTGGCAGTGAACTATCTATAGAAATGTCATCTGTAAAGTTTTTTACAGTGAACTAATTTTGTAGCAGCAGATGTTAGTTTGTATTTTTGAGCAAGTAATCATGTCTGCTCATTCATATGGTTGGTACTAGTGAAACAAAATTTGACTCATCTTGTTCTCTGTGATGTTTCTGTTGTTTTTTGTACTTCTTATATAACATGATAGCATATTCTCAGAGTTCCATCTGATGCACCTGATTCTTGATGAGCTTCTAGTGCATTAGGACCGGCTGATGCACCTCATTCTTGGTCCTAATGCACAGGCATTTTGGTGCTGGTGCATCAGCACTTGATTCTTAGATGATGCACCTTGGCTGGTGCATTAAATTGAAGCTTCTCAAGCTGGTGCATCACATTTATGCACCTCCATCAATCCAAATTTCAATTACCTCAATCAATCCAATTTTCAAACCAAGATATAACATGATTCAATCATTCAATAGTACAAAGATCATTCAGCCAAGTTACAACAACCAACTACATATACATAATCCAACTACAAGGAAATGTATGACATTCTCCTTCAGCCCCACTAGCAAAACAACCAACTATACAACAACTAACACAAGGAAATGTAAGACAATGTATCAGACTACAAATTTAACTAGAAATTATAAATTTAACCAGACTATTAAACTGGAACAGTCATGTGGGAAGGAGCAGTCTGCTCTGTTATCTCATCACCATCCAATTCATTTTCAACTGATGCCTCCTCTAGTGATTTTCCATCCGATTCATCCATAAGCCGAAACTATTGCCATTGCTAAGACTGTCACTGCTAAGACAAAGCAGCAACTCTTCCAGTATTTATTAAAGTTCTCTTGCACGTGCCAATTTCATTGCTAAGACTGCCATTGCTAAGACTTGCCCCTGGACGTGCCAATTCTAACTGAATCTTCCATGCTTTATCGAAATAATGCGCCAAACACCAAATATGCTTCCAATCTTCCATCAACAATTAACACTGGCTCCAAACATCAAAATAATGCGCCAAATATAGTCGGCTTGTGGCACTATCAAGAGTGCCGCACACTCCGTCGTCCCACCTTCCACCTCTGCAAATGTTACACCGCTTCTCGATTTTTCATGGCACACTGGTTAACCTGCCAACAACAACAGCAGAGATGTTGTGAGAATGGGGGAGCGGACGGCTTGAATTCTCAGTGATTATTGAGAATGGGGAATTAAGGGATTTCAATTTGGGGTTTCAATTTGGGACAGTTCAGCCGTTCAGATCGTGAGAATCGGGGAGAAGTGTGATTTAATATGTGAAGAGTCGTGGTTTTAATTACATGTTGGCAATTTAACGTGGGGTGTTTGCCATGTAAGAAAATCGTCAGCTACGTGTAATTTTTTGTCAATTTTAAGAGACAGCTGTGAAGTGAGTGGTGGATGGGTAACCATAAGGAAAGATGAGTGAGTGTTCGGTAACACGTTAAAGTTCAATGAGTAAGTGGTAACAACTTGAAAGTTCAGTAATTGTTGATTAAATTTACTCGTTCCTTTAAAATCAGAAACCTTAGATGATGTATTACAGTGACTAAGATCAGTTGCAACTACTTTGACATTTGCTATATCATAAAGATTCAATTCAGATACTAATGGTGACATCTTAACCAAGGGGCAAGTGGAGCCTATATCACCAGCAACTCCAAGAATTGCTACTTTATAGGATGCCTAAGGCTGAACATAACTATATGATCTCAGGTTATGTTATTGGGCTTTGGTGGTATAAGAACGTTTAAGGGCTGCACAGGTTTCACTGCTTAAAAATGGACACTCTGATTCGCAGCTCACATAGCTTGTAGCTTTGAGGCAACTGAAACTCAAGGGATAATTTCTTGAGTTGAATTTGACACTAAGAGCCTTTGATTGAGAAAGTTGACCCACTTTGATGCTAGCAGATNACATGGGCCTTCCAAAAACAGAAAGACCAGAGCCCACCGGATTGGATGTGACGAAGGAAGTGCTTAATCACTAGTCACGCTAACGTGATAATCGGGTTATCACGGAAGATATGAATCCTCTTTAGCCTTCGAGCCTGAAGCTAGACTTAGTTCTATCATCTCACCCCGAGAAAAGTCCAATTCCTCCTCCTACTTCAATATCACTTGCAGCACCCAGATTTACCAACTACCGATGATCTTCAACTAAAATCGATGATTGCTGCCTGCGCCCAAAAGCGATGTCTTCGACATTTCTAGCACTACGATGTCTCGTCGCTTCGGTGTTTTCTACATATACGGTGGCGGTTTTACAGCTCCAGCGGTAGCTCGTAAACTCGCTCCTCTCCTAAAGCTATTGCTATTAAATTTGGTCAACTAACGATTACGGCTTCTTAGAAAGTGTTCCCGCACTTTCGAAGAATTGCGCGGCTAATCTCTGGATGGGGATTGAAGGTAAGATAGTTCTAACCGAGCGATAGGTTTTTTTTTTGGTGTTTTTTGGGCATCAATCCGTACTACATAGAAAGAAGACTTCTTCCTCTTCTGTGCTGTGCGAGCACTATGGTTTTCTTCGACAATGGGCTCAAAAACCGATCCCGACTTTGTTTGAACTAAACTAATAAGAATGCCCCCTATACTATAGGAGTTGAAGATAGGGTAGAGGGGCGAAGCGATCTGCGATTTATGCGTTGGTAGGCTTGTGAAAATATAGAATCCATGTCCTAGGTGGATAGAACGAATGTGTCAGACCACTTTTCGATGTAGTTCAAGCATTTTCCGTATTAAGCCAGTTTACCCAGTAGTTAACCGGAACCGGTGGTAGGCGCGCGTTAGTTTTCTAAAAACCAAACGACAGTCGGATGGAGAGGGATTCGAACCCCCGGTATTCCAGCACCGGGCAGTGTACTTAGTGCGTCGTCTTATGCCCGCAGAGGTTTATGAAAAACGGTGGTCTCAGCGGATCTGATGTCCCTTGCTGTTATAACTCCAGTACGTCAGGAAGGCTAAGAATACCAAAGTCATTCGGGGCGATGGTTCTTATCGAAACGATAAATAAGTCAGTCCTTCCCTCTAGGAAAATCGATGGTTTATCCTAAAAAGAGTCTTTACTAATTAGAATATATAGGGCTTTTCCCTAGTAATCCAATATGTGGTTCCGCACGTTCCACCACTTCTCCTTTATCTGAAGCGATGTTATTTAGAACAAGGGAGGTCTTCCTAGCGGTTGACTGCTTTTCCCCTATTGTGTTTCAACTGAAATGGAATGTTTTAATTGAATGAAGAAAGACAGAACTCTTCTTTTTCCTACCCACAAATCGAAGGTTTGTCCAATGAATAAAATTATGTCCCAGTCAAATAGTCATATCATATACAACTAACAGCTGAAGCATGTGAAAACTGCAATATATATCGGAGCACTAGAGACAGCCAGTGTATAAGTACCAAAACTCAACGTATAAATGTGCAATATGGCTTCAAGGACCTACTTCTTAGGTCAAGCACTAGGGAAAAATAGTTAAAATATCCTCTATCGCTCTAAACATAAGAAAACTACAAGCTTAAAACGTACTATATCTAAGTAAAAAACAATCCTCCACCGTGTAAACAGTAGTAACCTATGAAGCACCGACACGGACACATATGTCTGACACGATGACACGACACGTCGTCTACACGTTGATTAAACTTTTTAAAATTCTTCATTTATATAATATAAATTTAATTTTATATTTGTTATTAATTATTCTCGTCGAAATCTTTTAAATATGAGTATTTATTTATTATTTAATAATAACTTTAAGTTAAAAATATATAATATTTTTTATGAAGAAAAAAATGACAATGGCAGAGTATCGGACAATGACACGCTACTCTAATTGAAGTGTCTGTGCTACAGAGGTAGTAAACATACTAAGCAATGGTAAAATTGCTAAGGGTATGATAAGAGTAAAATCAATTTTGCTACAAGTACAAAAAAAAATCACTACCAATGTAAGTAGTCTCGGGTTTTGGTTTTGATGCTCACTTGCTAATGTAGTCAATACTTTTGAAAATATCAAAGAAGATTTGTAGTTTGGAAGCATGTTTATACAATATTGAAGATTTAAAAATGCTTGGAACTCAAGCCTGAATTTGAACCAACAAGCCAAAAACAAAAATATAGAACGCATGCCAGAATCAACAACTCGAACCAGATAAGGACTTAATCACTGAACAAAGGTATTCTGCTTTAGCTCTGTGTGATTAAATTAGAAGATTACAAACATCTAGGCAGATTGGGTAGTTTTTTGACAAACTTATATCCAACATAATGAAAATCAAAACTGAACTCCACACATCAAAAGCCAAAATAACGGAAGAACAATCCTAATACAATAGCATCGTGGTAGTAAAAGTATATAAAAAAACTCGCAGTATCATTTCCACTATATTGTACATAGAATTGTTACAACAACATTTTACTTAATTTGAGAACGTAATTATTTGTATTCAATTCACACTTAAATAAAACCATTCATCAGAGTTAAGGACAGTAGATCTATGACTATCACGTACAGATTTTGTACCCTACAAATGCGCATATAAAGCCCCCGTTTGCCCCCATTATTCCCGATTAAAATTATAGAATTAAGTAGTCAATGTTCACATTTTATATTCCTCAGGACCTCACATGCAATTATTCTATAGGTCTTTAGCCGTCTGTTATGTTTGTTTTGTCCAGTGCATTTATACCGGTGTTGTTCTTCATTTTGAGTTTTGAGATTCAATAAAATAAAAGAGTTTCTTCTTCGATCCTCGATCTCTTCATGGTATCAGAGCGGGAAGATCTTGAAGATAGGATCTGATGCATACTAATTACTAGGATTCAAATACTTGATTTTATTTCTGATAGCTGACGAATTGGAAGAAGTTACTATTTCACAAACAAATGGAGGTCATCGCGAAGCTGATGAAGGAGATCCACTTCAGTTAGGTAACTCAGATCACCCTGGTATGTCACTTGTTACTGTTCCTCTTACTGGGAAGAACTTTCTGGCTTGGAGTAGATCGGTTAGAATTGCACTTGGTGCTAAAATGAAGTTAGGGTTCATTGATGGAACAATTGAAACTCCAGCTAAGAATTCACTTCAATTTGTAAAATGGAATAGAGTCAATTGCATGATAACTTCGTGGATCTTAAACTCTATTTCAAAAGACATTGTTGATGCTTTTTGGTATACTACTTCTGCTAAGGAGCTCTGGAGTGAATTGGAAGAGAGATTCAGTGGTTGTAATGGTCCACAGTTGTACCAGATACAGAGGGAAATTTGTTTGATAACACAGGGTAATCAATCAATATCTCAATACTATACAAAATTGAAAGGTCTGTGGGATGAATTGACATATCTTATGCCATTACCTGAATGCACCTGTGGCTCAGCTAAAGTAGTGTCAGATATAACTTTATTTAATAGGTTGATGCAATTTCTCATGGGATTAAATGACGAATATGAACAAGTTCGAAGCCAAATTTTAGTTATGGAGCCCTTACCTGCTGTTAAAAAGGCCTATGCTATGATCCAAAGAATTGAGAAACAAAAAGAGGTACTCATAGCCTTTGGTAATGAAACTGAAATGATAAAAAGGGAGAAAAAATTATTATATTGTACTCATTGCAAGGTAAATGGTCACAACAAGGATTGATGCTTCAAAATTATAGGATATCCAAATTGGTTCAAGCAATTAAGGAATCAAAACAGATATGGAACTGTGAAGTATTCAGTAAACATGGCTGATACACCGTTTGAAACTGATCAGGAAATGAAGGATAAGCTGCAGAAATTCAATTTGTCAGAAATGATACAACAGGAATTGGTAAAGATGATGAAAGGAAGCACTGGAGGTGACATGATTAACTTTGCTCATTTTGATGACTTTGCAGGTTTTGTACTCAAACATAATGTCATTCTTACTTTCAATGCTTCAAACTTGTTAGAAGTAGGTTCTTGGATATTAGACACATTGGCATCTAATCATATGTGCAACAACCTAAATTTTTTTAAGGAACCCAAACAATGCATTTCAGCCATTCATGTATATCTTCCTGATGTATCTATTAATTTTGTTCAGAACACTGGAGATATTCACATTCATCCTGCCATAACCCTGAAAGATGTCTTGCATATCCCAACCTTCAAGTTTAATTTGTTGTCTGTCAGCAAGTTAACAAAACCTTCAAAGATGAAACTCATATTTTTTGATGACCATTGCCTTTTATAGGACCATCAGACTGAAGAAATCAAGGCAGTTGGTAGACTAGTCAGAAATCTTTATATTCTAGACCAAACTTCTTTTTCTCTATCAACTCTAAATAAATTCAAAGCTTCCATTTGTAATTCAGTTTTTACTCAATGTAATAATCTCCCCGTGTCTTCAAATGTTGTTATAGATAAATCTTTAAATCTATGGCACAAGTGACTTGGACACGTTTCTGCAAAGGCTATGAAACATTTAGAAATTTTGAATGTTTGTGATGATGATTTTCTTCCACATTGTGATATTTGTGCCATTTACAAACAACCAAGATTACCTTTCACAAAAAGTATGATACAAACTCAATTGGTAGGAGAATTGATTCATATTGATCTATGGGGACCCTGCAAACAGGTATCTATATCAGGGGCACATTATTTTTTAACCATTGTTGATGATCTAAGTAGAGCCACTTGGATCTTTCTCCTCAAACATAAGACTCAAGTTCTACAAACCTTCAAAGCCTTCCATCAATTTCTTAGAACTCAGTTTAACAAAGACATCAAGTGTGTAAGATCTGACAATGGCACTGAATTTGTCCACTCAGAATTTCAAAAATTTCTTATTGACAAAGGTATAGTGCATCAAAAAACTTGTGTCTACACACCTCAACAAAATGGTATTGTTGAGAAGAAGCATAAACACCTCTTGCAAGTTACAAGAGCTCTTATGTTTCAAGCAAACTTGCCTAAATTTTTTGGGGAGAGTCTATTTTGATGGCTACATACATTATTAACCGGTTACCTACCCAAATTCTTGACTGGAAAACACCATTTCAGATCTTCCACAACAAAATACCTTCATATCATAATCTCAAAGTGTTTGGGTGTCTCTGCTATGCCACTAATGCTCAACCTTTCAAGGATAAGTTCTCCCCTAGGTGTTTTAAGTGTATTATGATAGGTTATAGTCATGGTAAAAAAGAATTCAAAGTCTATGATCTTGAAAAACGACAGATATATGTCTCTAGAAATGTTATTTTTCATGAGAATATTTTTCCCTATAAAGGCAATTCTATCCCTGACCAAAATCCACCACTTCTAATTCCAGTGTTTGATCAAAACAAGTCAGAAACCATGCATACTAACAATAACATCCAAGTTGTACATAACACCGATGAAGCTTCTGACCTTCCTGTTAGTCTGCCTATTGCTACAGATGATCTCAACAATGGTTCTTCAACTCCTCAAGAAACACTACCTTCTGATAATTCTGCCCAAAATCAACTTTGCATCAAGAAGAGCACCATAACAAAAATTACCCCTAGATGGATGTAAGATTTTGTATCCAATCTTAGCCACACTCATCATATTCCCATCACTTATTCCCAACCTTCTGATTCTACTTCATCATCCTTCACCCCTAACACTTTTCCCTACTATACTTCATTTAACTTTTACCCTGCATATATTGATTATTTGGCCAACATCACCACTATCCAAGAGCCAACTTCATACAGGGATGCAAGCACAAAGAAAGAATGGACAAAAGCTATGAGGGCAGAACTTGATGCTTTGGAGAAAAATGCAACTTGGGAATTATCTTCCTTGCCATCTGGTAAGAAACCAGTAGGATGTAAGTGGGTTTTTAAAGCAAACCTAAAGGTTGATGGCACCTTAGATAGATGTAAAGCTAGGTTAGTTGCAAAGGGTTTTAATCAAGTCCCTGGCATTGACTTTTTTTAGAGTTTTTCCCCAGTAGCCAAACCGGTGACTATTAGATTATTCATTGCCATTGCTATTGCAAAACTTTGGCCTATTTTCCAACTTGATATTAACAATGCATTATTACATGGTGTGTTGGATGAACAGGTGTATATGTGGCCACCTCAAGGATATGATAAAGCTGCCGATGGACAAATTTGTAAGCTCAAAAAGTCACTATACGGTCTGAAGCAAGCAAGCAGACAATGGAACTCTGAATTATGTAAACATCTCATTGCATTTGGTTTTCAACAATCCCAACATGATCATTGCCTATTTACTTTGCATAATTCTTCTTCCTTCATTGCTCTACTGGTTTATGTTGACGATTTGCTTATTACTGGAACTGATGAGTTAGAGATTAATCGGGTTAAGGAATCTTTGCCCAAGGTTTTCACTATCAAGGATTTGAATTATGCCAAGTACTTTCTTGGTATTGAAATTGAGAGGTCCATAGACGGAACATACTTAAATCAGAGAAAATATGCTCTTGATCTTATCACTGATGCTGGTCTTTTGGGTGCAAAGAGTATTTCTACACCATTACCTAAGGACCAAAAGTTTTTTGCTTCTGACCAGGAACCTCATTCAGATTCTGAGCAATTTAGAAGACTCCTTGGCCGTCTACTTTATCTTACACTTACTAGACCAGATATTACCTTTGGTGTTCAACAATTAAGTCAGTTCGTGCAGAGTCCTTCCATCGCTCATTGGAATTCAACATTGCATATTTTACGATACATCAAAGGTACTCTGTCAAAGAGTTTATTTTTTCCTGTAACTAACAACTTTGCTCTGGAAGCTTTTAGTGACGCGAATTGGGCGACTTACCCTGACACTCGACGTTCATTAACAGGTTATTGCATCTTTTTTGGATGAGTTTTAATATCTTGGAAAACAAAAAAGCAGACCACAGTTTCCAGAAGTGCGACTGAGGCAGAGTACAGAAGTTTGGGAACAACGGTTTGCGAATTACAGTGGATTCATTACATTTTACAAGATTTTCATATTTATGTTCCTCTTCCGATTCCCCTTTGGTGCGACAACCAGGCAACACTTCACATTTGTGCCAATCCCTTTTTTCATGAGCGGACTAAACATCTTGATATAGACTGTTACATTGTTCGAAATCAGTTCAAGCTGGGTTTTGTTCTTCCCCGTCATGTCTCTACTAATGACCAGATTGCAGATGTTTTCACCAAGTCACTACCTGCTCGGCAATTTAGGTTCTTACTGTCCAAGTTGGCATTGATGGACTTCCATCAAGGAGGGGAGGGGAGGGGGGAGGATACATAGAATTAAGTACTCAATGTTCACATTTTATATTTCTCAGGACCTCACATGCAATTATTCTATAGGTCTTTAGTCGTCTGTTATGTTTGTTTTGTCCAGTGCATTTATACCAGTGTTGTTCTTCATTTTGAGTTTTGAGATTCAATAAAATAAAAGAGTTTCTTCTTCAATCCTCGATCTCCTCAAAATTATAATTCATTTTTATCCCTTTTTATCAACCATGCATTCTCCAATAAAATAATATTACACGTAAATCCAAAAAAAAATTCTTCTTTTTTAACCACGTATTCTTCAAAAATTATTGTTCTTCTCATTATAATGTGGAATAAAGGGGCTAAACCGGCGCAAAGACATTAAATTTTGACTACAATTTTAGCTGAATGCTGAAAATTAAAATTCAAATATGACAGTTATTCAACAAATATGAATTCCTAAATCCAAAACAATGTGCCAGATCTACAAAAATTAGCTAGTCAAAATGAACCCAACGTAGGGCAGGATTAGAAAAAAAAAAAAAAAAAAAACTTAAAATTCAA